ATCAGCACGACTGGGATCTTCACTTGGCTAGGGCCTGTCTCTTATACACATCTAGATGTGTATAAGAGACAGGTATGTATGTCTGTCTATGTGTCTGTGTATGTGTGTGTGTGCCCCCGTGTTTCTGTGTATGTCACGTGTTTGTGTCTGTGTTTGCAACAAAATTAAAAAGAGCCCGCGACGAAAAAAAAAGAAAAAAAAAACCACGAAAGCGGGAAATAACGAAAAAAAAAAGTCGCGGCAGCGGGAAACGACAAACTTCGAGGCGCACACGCGGGCAGTCGGGCAGGGTCGCACGCTGTCTACCCGTGCGTTGTTTCTCGGAATTCAAAACATTTTCATTTTCTGCCTCTCTTTCGGTTCTCCACACTATACTACTGGCAGCCCTGATAAAACCGTGCTACCGGTCCCCAGAACTTCTTGACGTCGGAGGGAGTTGTGGTTTAAAAGAATGAGCCTTCAAAAAAAAAAAAAAAAAAAAAAATTATTGACCCGCCTACCACACTGTGCGACGTTAGACGACCAGTCCCCCCGGCGTAAAAAACCTCGGGGGTACCGGTAGCGGCATTTCACGATGGGTACCGGTAGTACAGAACGGAAAATCGGACGGGCCTTGATAATTGAATTTGTGAAAAAAAAAACGAATCAGCACGGCGCTTATTTCACGGTCAAAATGATTGTTTTTATTTTTTCTGATATTTTTTCTTGAAAGATCACGACTTAATCTACTGACCCGGCGGGCGACGGTCAAAATGATTGTTTTAAATTTTTCTGATATTTTTCGTTGAAAGATCACCACTTAATCTACGGATCCACAAAGTTTCAGGCAATTTGATGAATTCTTCTAAGCTACAAAAATCGCCAAAGTTACAGCTTGCAAATGGCGGGATTGGACCGGGCGGGCCACAAAAATTGACTTCGTGAAAAAAAATGAATCGGCGCGGTGCTTATTTCACAGTACAATTTTTTTATTTTTATTTTCCTGATATTTTTCCTTGAAATATCATGACCTAATCTACGGACCCTCAAATTTTCAGACGATTTGAGGAAATCTTCTGAGCTACAAAAATCGTCAAAGTTACCGCTTGCAAA